GGTGCTCATGTTGGTTCTGTGTTGGATCTGATGTTGGTTGTGGTCCCCCTGACCGTTGTTTTTGTTGTTGGTTGACTGGAGCATGTCTTCGTCTTCCTCGGATACGTCGTCTTGTGCAGCGTGGCGATGAGTTCCTCATCGCTCAGCGTCGCTTGGTCTGATGGCGCGGCTCGCAGCAGGCGAAGGCGTCGACTGACGAGGCCTCCTTCTGCCGCGGCCTGGATGACCGACGGCCGCGCCTCGGAGGACGCGGCCACTCGTCGGTTGGTTTCGCTTGCGGAACGGCTGGAAAAACGCAGAATTATCTGGTCACCCGCTTCAACCTGCCAACGGGATTTTGATCGTATTTGTACCGTGTTTTTCAGCCGCACCCACAATCCTCGACGTTGTTTATACGGATAGGCGGATAATCCGGACAAATGGATGGTACTTTTGACCAGGATACGTCGGTGAGCCTCGGCGAAGAAGAACCAGCTGCCGCCTTGTTTTCATATCTTTTTCACAAGTTTTAAAACCCACTTCGACGTGCGGACTTGAAGTGGCGCGCTGCCTTTCTTGCAAGGGGTATTCCCAGGAATTCCAAGTTCTTCCAAGCATGGCTTGTGCTGACCAAGTGCTTGGATCGAACCAACACACTGCGCCGCGGCTGCCGAGGTCTCTCTGCCAGCTCTTGGCGCGGGCTTGCGATAACGTCCAGGCTTTGATTCCACGCATGTGATGCTTCCTGCATCACGACAAGGACTCGGGACGCGATGATCCCGCGCACGTTTGGGCTCGAAAAGGCAGCTCTCCGAGGCTGACGATTGACGCTTGCTACCACACTGCAGCCCGGTACCTGAACAGATTTCGTGCACATGAGAGTGAACTCCGAGTACATTCCATGTCAACTCGGTGCCTCGACATATGAGTAGGAGGTAGCCGGAGGATGGGGCTGAACACTTGGTACACGAGTGCACATCTGGCGCATATTATGTGTCAGGTGCATCTCGAGGTTGCACCGCGTGCCTGGAGCCAATGCGAGACGCCTGCGCTGGGAACAGTGGTGCCATCGCCGTTCGCCCACGGAGCGCGGGTGCTGCTAGTATTCGTATGGACTCACTACGATTGACTATGTCTCGCCTTTGAATCGTAGAATTGAGGTAGAAACGCTGCGAGATGGTGCGGTACTACTGACCACCGGATGTGTGCAACGATCGGGAAAGGCGTCATGTGGCACGAGTGCTCCAACTTGTTCCATCGAATCGCCAAGGGTCAACCCAGTAATGAGCTCACTTTTCAATTTCCAGCCCATTGACCATGATAGCTACCAACAACTCGACCAACAGCAGCAGCCACACGACTACGTACAGCTTTGCGCCAGCCTCGAGCGCGGGTGTCTCGGGCACGATCATGGTCACCCATCTCGCCCAGGCGCGACGATCGCGGCCAACCTTCGACGTCTCGGGTCG